TTGCTCTGCCATCCAGTCATATTTAGCTGCAATCTATTTGAACTGCAAAAATCTGGAAATTAAAACTAAATGCCAAAGAAGCTGACAGAAGATACACAACCAGCTGGTAGCAATGCTAAATTACTCAATTCACTGTTTGCTTATCAGTTCTATTGATACCTCAAAATAAAAAGCCACATTCTTGAAGGTAGGGATGATGAAGTGAGGATTAAGACATCTGCATGACTGGAAACAAGTTCCATGTTCATTTATTCTCTCTGCGTGTAAGATATCCCCATATCATGTGAATAATAAAATCCACGAAAGTTGCTCTCTCCATTGGCAAAGAATAAACTGACAAACTAAACTGAATCTCCGTTCTTGATCTGATTAAGGTTTCAAAGGACTACCAAAAAGCTATACATTAAACATGTTTATTAAAAAACAGATACAAAACTTTAAAATACAACTTAAGCCACCAGTCTCCTGTGGCCTCATGTCAGCACAAAACAGTAACCTCAATGCTGGTAAAACAGCCAAAACCATAAACCTAATGTGTGGGGCCAGAGACTTGCTCACGTTTTGGTATCTGGAAATACAAAGCATTTTTAACTTACAACAAGTCACGAGATGGAATAAAATTAATCATACCAAGTGTCAGTTAGTTTTAGAGAACAGAGCCAGATAGAGTAACATGGAATACATTTACTGACAATTTTAAATTCATATACTGTGGGCAAAATAAACTTAAAGGCAGGCTTTGTTTCATACTATTATTTTATAACAGAAACACTCTTTGACATCAGGAAAAGAATCTCTGGACTTTCCCAGGTGGCACAGTGGTAGAGAATATGCCTTTCAATGCAGGGGACACAAAAGATGCAGGGCCAATCCCTGGGTCAGGAAGATTCCCGAAGTAGGAAACAGCAGTAGGAGTCAGTAGGAAATGGAGTAGGAAATGGCAACCCACTCCAGTCTTCTTGCCTGGAGAATCCCATGGACAGAGGAGCCTGGTGGGCTACAGTCCATGGGGTCACAAAAAGTCAGCAATTGAGTGACAGCACACACACACACACACACACACACAATCCCTATTTGTTCCTGTAATTTACACTCCAATGAACCAATCTGTAAGAAGAGATTTAATTTTCTAGTTGGCTAGAAGATTAAAGGCAATAGACATACAATAAGGATTTGAATTCTAAAATCATATTTACAAAGGAACCTACAGAACACCCCTATGGCAATAAGAATATCATCAAGAACATGAATATTCAAATAATGACCAAAGAATGCTAACTACTGATACTTTCAGGAGGGAATAAAAATGGACAAATTCATCTGTTACAAAAGAAAGAAAAAAAGCTTTACTTAAATTTGTCTCTGAGCTAATAGATGTCAAGAAACAACTTCAGTTAGAAACTAAAAAAACAACCAACTCTGGAATCCCCCTGGTACATTGGTTAGGACTCAGCACTTTGACTACTGTGGGCCAGGTCTTCAATCCTCAGTCATGTAACTAAGATCCCACATGCCACTAGATGCACCGCCCCCCTCAAAAAAAACCATCAAACTTAAAAAGGAAAAGCATACCTCTTACAGTTTAAGACTGTAATGTTCGTCTGGCATTCAAGGTCCTCTGGGGCCCAGCATTCCGCCACCTTCCTATAGGACCCTATTGCTGACCCCATGACAGAACAACACTAACCAGCACGCAGTCCCATTGAGTCACTAACTAGCCTATCCTCCCCACCAGGAACGCACATCAAATCCCCTGTGCATGTGCCAACTTTGACAACACTTGTCAAGGGAGACTCCTCTCCCTCACCGCCACGCGTGAAGAGATTCACAGAACATGCAGTCTGTATCATTCATGAGAAATGTTTTAACTCCCTTGGGGTTCTGTGCTTTTTAAACCCGGGAAGCCTTCGTACGTCCCTACCAATCTGCACATGCCAAGTCACTGCAGGGACGTACACAATGCAAAGCAGTGTTTCTATGACCAGAGCATGAGTCTCATCATCTGCTTCGAACCCTGACTCTTCCTGCACATTTCTGTACCTCAGTTTCCTCAACAGGAAAATGAGAATTATAACAGTACCTACTCCACAGTCTGTGGTGAAGATTAAAATGGTTTGTTACACATCAAGGAACTGGTAAAGGTAAAGCACTTAAGTCACTTCAGTCGTATCCAACTCTGCAACCCCATAGACTATAGCCCACCAGGCTCCTCTGTCCATGGGATTCTCCAGGTGAGAATCCCGGACTGGAGTGGGTTGCCATGTCCTCCTCGCCCAGGGCATCTTTCTGACGCAGGGACTGAACCTGCAACTCTTGTGTCTCCTGCGTTGCAGGTGGGTTCTTTACCGCCGCCAGCGCCACAGCAGTGTGCGCCTCTCAGTCACTGTGTGCGTCACTAATACCACCACCAGTTCTCCAGCACCGGAGCGCGCCTCACACACAGGAGCTCAACAAAAACTCTGAATGAGACAGTATTCAAATAATGCTAAAAACCCCAAAGATCAAACCCACTATAAGGGCCTGTTAGAATAAAAAAGAATTCTACCTCCAAACCACCTAAACTTCAGGAAGGAAGTCAGAGTATAAAACTAGCAATCCAAATCCAAAACTCCAAAAAAACTAAAGCTTCTTTTTTTCCCCTGATGAAGATGGAAAAGACATTATACGAAAGAACTTAATAGTGTCTGTATAGGAAGGAAATATATCCCAAAAGATAACTATTTCTAAAATGTCATCTTAATTTCTAATCCATCAAAAATACATTAATTCTATTTTTATATCTACATACATTTCTAGTCTCTATATTATTCACTTAAGTTGGAACCTTCATCATTTACCATCTTGCCTTGACAAGGAACATTAAATTTAATTTACTCCACACAGGTAATTCCTAATTCCAGCACTCAGTAATTCCATAAACAGTCACATTTGCTTTGCTGATATCCTTCACAATTTTATACTTTGGTTGCTGCCTCTTCACTCTTCCCCAGCCCCAAGAGCTCTTTCCTCATTGCCATTTTGTCCTCCTTGGGTAGCTGACTCTTTTCTTGGTTTCTGTTTCTCCACTTCCAGCTCCTTTGTTTGACCCATGGTCAGAAAAGGTCATAAATTATGGAAAACCTCTTATCCATAGATACTAGGATACAGTCAAGTAAGCCTAATAACCAACTGATTTGTACTACAATGACACAATGTTACTTCAAAAACACTGGCTTAGGTTAGCTGGGTAAGGTCTCCTCAAAGTATGAGGAACCCATCTATGATGCCAAGAGTGGAAGAGACTTAGACTTTAGGCAAGATTTCTAAAGAACCATTTGTGAAAACATAATAGAAACAAAAAGTTTCTATTTTAATAATAACCATATCAGGAACCACGCCATTTGCACATAAGGTTTAGCTGATCTCTTATTACTTGCATACCTTATACAGAGGTGAGGTCCATACCTAAGCTGTGGTAAAGACTGTCAAGTCTATCACGGGGAATTTAAATTTCCCAACTGCATGTCTCCTGGTTTATTATAAATTACAAATCAACAGATGGATGTTGAAACAGCTCAAAGAAAACACAGTTTAATTGCTGATTAGCAAATACTGTGACAGTTGAGCAGTCACATTCATTCACATCCCGTTTAAAGAAATTCGTACCAGAAAAGGAATGATGAGAGCATAGGAAAAAGGAGAGCAGGAGGAACATGTTAGAACTGGAAAAACAAACAATCCCAACAATTCTGGGTGCAAAGACTATGAGAAAATTTAATTTTCTTCTTTATGCTTTTAGGTATTTCCCCAAATGTTCTAAAATAATTTATATATATAAACATGTATATACACACATATACATATGCATACTTTACTAAAAAGGACAATATATGTAACATGATCTTCATTTTCTCAAGCACGCTTTTATAAACAACAGGCTACCACAGGATGTTTCAACTGTTCAGAGCCTAAAATATTGTCTAGAAGACACAATTCAATAAATATTTGTCAAATATATTACCTTTTTTTAATCCTAATGGAACATAACACCAAAAGAAGGTGTTATCATAATATATTTTAAATAAAAGAGGCTAAATACGCTCAGGAAAATCATGACTTCCTTACTTTAAAAAATGAGTTTATAATATGAAGTTTATAAATTCAAACTGATAAAGGCTCAGGAAGGCATCTAGCTCAGAGTTTGTGTTTTGTTTTGCTCAAAGATTTTTTGAGGTTCAATTTTTTTTTTCTAAAACTGCCTGTCTATTTTTAGAACGATCAGTTTAAGAAAAATGAAAAAAGGGCAGTTTAATTAACATGTAATCAGTTCTGGCAGTGCCTGCCGAAAGATTTACATGAATGCTGGGCGCTTTTCTGGTTTTTACAAACCACTATTATTCTTTCTGATCTGTGAAAATGACTCCGTGTGTTGGTATCATTCCACTAATTTTTACCAGATACCTATGGAAGACAATATAGTCACTCAGCTGAAAGCACACTAAATAAAAAATACTGACATGAAAATGTGTTCCTCTTTAAGCAGGTAGAGCTTCTCCTAGGAACTGACTTCGGGGTGCAAAGCTCCATGGTAGGCGACAGCAGCTGAAACCCAGTGGCACCTTAATTAAGGAGGAGAAGCACCGCCGCCCGCGCCCCGCGACAGGACCTGTGCGCGCAGTGACGGCGGCCGCGCTGCGCACGGAGGGAACCGCCGACCAGGACCTCCATCGGCCTCACCGCGGCCGGGACCAGCCCAACAACCCGCGTTACCTCGCTTGTGCAGCTCCCGCAGGGGGATGCAGTCTCCGCCCCCGTCGTAGGGCAGGTAGGGGTCGGAGGCGGCGTCCATGGCCGAGGTCCGCAGGAAGAAGCAGAGGGAAAGCTCGCGAGCTCACCGCCCGCGCGCGCCCCGGAACCCCGCCGCAGCAGGTTGGGTAGTCGCCATGCCCGACCTGTCGGCGCGCGCAGCCTCGCGGGCTGACGTCACCCAGGCGCCACGGTTGCCAGGGCGACGGGCTCGCCTCCCCATCAGTCAGGCCCCGCAACGTGTAACGGTGACTAAGACCAGGGGTGACAGACCAAACAGCCTCCACAGCAAGGGGGCAACTACAGCAAGGCGACAGAGACCTACTTGTCGATTTCTGAATACAGAGCTGTGCAAAGAAATTATGCGCGTACAGAAGGAATGAAACATTTCATTCCCAACTTAGGTAAGTGGGGATGACACGCTAAAAAGGCCACGTGATTTTACCGTATAAATACACAAATTTATATGTAGCCACGTCACGTGAATCATAAACATAAAGAAACAGAAGATACCGAAGTCTTCAAGACACTTGGTTTTTAAGTCTATTCTTAAGTATCTAAGATGTACTAATGCAGACTTCTACTGTGGCTTCAAAAATTCAGTAACTGGACCATTACTAATCCCCTTCAGCAGCCTCCTTCCTTCAGGAACCAGCTAGTTAAGAAAGACGTCGAGGTTTAAGAAAGAAACTTAACATCCTAGGTAACTTTGCTAGTTGTCAAATTATGCAAAAAGAGACTTAGTAGCTGGGAGACTTTCCTCTCTCCTGACTTCTACTTTTCCTACCTCACAGAGATTTTCGTTGTGCTGTAAAAAGGTGGGGGGAGGGGGCTTTAGTGAAATATGTCTCAGCGTGTACTCTAATGGTCTCCTTGCTAGACATTTTATGAAACTAGAAATAAGGGAACTCAGGCTACAGAACGTTTCAAAATGGATCATTTTTATTTTCAAAAGCTATCATTTTTATTTTTCGCTGTATGACCAAGTTGTAAATCAGGACAAAACAGGTTAAGAGAGTGACCCCAAATACCAGGAAAACTTGCAGAGAGCTTTTCATCTTATAAAAAGGCAGGGAAGAATGTAAGTAGTATAAAACTAAATTATTTATAAATGCCATATAGAATGCATCTTTTTTAAAAAAGTCTTGTAAGAGTAGAACTTAACACACCAAAGTATGTTTCATTTCAAACTGTCATTCCAAAAAAAAAAAAAAAGCTAATGCTCATTTAAGCTGAGTTCAAATTTTTACAGCTGCCTCTCAGGTGATTCCTCCCTAGACTATGAGATTCTTTTTCTGAAATAGCTATGGTGGGCAATGCCACTAAACAAAAATTCATTAAAAGCTGTTCCACAGGACTCCGGGGTTTTGTAAAATGTGTTTTTGTAAGCACTGAATGTGCCAACCCTAAGGTCTACTCCAATTCAATGATTTTATATGAGAACTGCGGGCAAGAGAAGGAAAGAAAGGACTCAGACGACAGTAAAGAGAAGAGAGATATTCAACTTGTCTAGTTGTTGCTTATTCGCTCAGTCATATCTGACTCTTTGCAACCCTGTGGACTGCAGCATGCCAGGCTTCCCTGTCCTTCACTATCTCCCAGAGCTTGTTCAAACTCATGTCCATCAAGTCAGTGATTCCATCCAACCAACTCATCTTCTGTCATCCCCTTCTCCTCCTGCCTTCAATCTTTCCCAGCATCAGGGTCTCATCCAATGAGTTGGCTCTTCGCATTAGGTGGCCAAAGTATTGGAGCTTCAGATTCAGCATCAGTCCTTCCAATGACTATTCAGGGTTGATTTCCTTTAGCTTTGACTGGTTTGATCTCCTTGCTGTCCAGGGGACTCTCAAGAGTCTTCTCCAGGACCAGAGTTCGAAAGCATCAATTCTTTGGTGCTCAGCCTTTTTAATTGTCCAGCTCTCACATCCGTACATGACTACAGGAAAAACCATTTGTCTAGTACATCTTAGTTATTATTAGTTATTTGGGAACTTTTTAAAAGTTAGATTAAATCAAGTTTTTTTATTTCAAAAAGTTTGAACCTCAGAAAGACATACCTTCTTATAAAATCCCACCTGGGATTTAGGAGTAAAAGGGTTCTGGGAAAGGAATGTAGACAAGTTACTGCCACAGGAATGTTCTATCTAATTCTCTCTGGTTCTGGTATTAGCATTTATGATATGACTGTGGGTGGCTTTTTCTTTCTGTTTTCTTCACATTTTCTTGGAAATGATTTTTTTTTTTCTTTTTTCCACATGGAGAAAGGCGTCAGAGCCAGCCCACCCACCATCCCACTCCCCCTCCACGATCCTGTCTTGTCCCAGCCCCCAACCTCTGAAATGATTTTTTTAAAACAAGGAAATCTAACTTTTAAACAAAGAGCCAACTTTGCTAAATTAACAGAGAGTAAATTTGGTCCTTTTTGGTACTTTGGTATGTCAAGGTCTACTATTACAAGACTTTTAAAAATGGCATTTAGAAATAATTTCATTTTATACTACTTATATTCTTCCCTGCCTTTTTATAAGATGAAAAGCTATCTACAAGTTTTCCTGGTATTTGAAGGCACTCTCTTAACCTGTTTGTCCTGATTTACAACTTGCTCACACAGGAAAACTAAAAATGACAGCTAGCCAGCACTAACTAAAGCGGGAAGAATACTTTCCCTATAAAATATACTGATGGCATTGCATAGGTACATGTTTTTGTAGCCTGAGTAAAATGAATATTTTAAAGAACACTGTATTTCTGTATGTAGGCATGTATATATTATATACAGTGTATCTGTATACAGTCAAGTTTAGAATGAGATGCACTAGACTTAACTGTTATCACTCAGGGTAGAATGAGATGGAAGTGGGGAGGCTGATGGTACATTCAGTTTTTTCTGTATATAGCTCTACATTTTTGAAAATTTGAAAAACAAATACATCACTCATTAATTTTGAAATAAATCTTTTTTAAGTAATCTGAAAATTTAAAGAATTTCAGAAGTAAACAAATTTCTTACGCTTATGGGGTCCATGGCTGCCACATTCTCTTCCAGTAAAAGCATTATTTAGGCTCAGGTGCTTTCTAATTATACTTTAGAAAAAAAGGACAAGGTAAACTGGAAGGTGTGGCCAAAGAGGACTTTGACACAGATTAGGTATTATCAGACTAAGGACCTGAATTACAGTTAAAGAGAGAAGACAAATTCAAGAATTCCAAGGCACTCGGGTGGGGTGGGGGAATGCCTCGGTCACCTACAAACTGGCACTTGCCATCTGCCTCTAGGAGATCAAATTCTGAGCTGCTGATGTTCAACATCATGTGAAAGGAGTTCAGGGTGGAGAGCAGGAAGGAAGCACTCTGTGCTCTGGGAAAACTGGCAGGACAGGTCTTCAGATAGTTAGGTATTTTCAGAAGCCGATTTTATGAGCCCATTTCTTGCATCTCTTCTTATCTAGAAAAGCACTGCAATCCTCCATAGTGACCTCCGCTCCTCATGACTAGCCGTGAGCCGGCTGATGAGCCTCACCCGGCCCCCCCACCCTTCCCACCACGATCACATACTGACCTCCCCACGTCCCACCTCTTTGGAGCAGTTTCTCAGAGCTATCTGAGGTGCTGTCTCCCTGACTACAGGCATCATTTTGCCCCAGATAAAGTTTAATCCACAGTTCTCACATTGCGCGTTTTAAGTTGACACTCAGGACGAAACCTCTGAAGAACCCAAACCAAGAATTGGCAGCACATGAAAGGATTTAAAACTTCAAAGGGGGAAGGTGTCTCTACTCCCCAAATGCTCCCCGGTCCTACCCCCAAACTGATGTGGTAGTCTGGAGGTGTGTGAATCAGGGAGGCAGGTATACACAGGATAGTGTATAACCATACATTGTAACTACACATACATAGGTATATATAATCTTTCAACCCCTCCTAACCCACAGGACCCAAAAAATCTACATTAGAAGTACTTTAAAAATAAAAGTATTTTTTGCCTTTAGATCTAACTACCAATTTACTGGAAACAAAAAAACAGAGACACATGTTAAGTGAGAGCTCAGGAACACAATTAGGAAAACCCAAAATGGGAAACAAATGACCAAATTTCTTCATCAACAAATGAATTAAAAAAAAAAAAAAAAACAGGGGAGGGGGGCGGGGGCGGGGAGGAACCTGTAGAAATTTTTTTTAAAAGATTTAAAGGATTTATCAAGCAGTTTCAATGTAACAACTGGGAAACAATTGGGAAAATGTGAAATAGAGAAGATCACTGATTATAAGGAATTATTTATTTTTTAGATGTAGTAGTCTTTAAAAGAATCATCTTTTAGACATACATATTAATAGAGCAGCAGCAGCAATGCAATAGATACAGAAGAACAACCACCACTACCTAGAGCTGAACAGTAGTTAAGACAGACCTCAGTGCCTAAGTTGGCTCAATTTTCCACTACTAACCAATGATATGACTATATCGTCAAGACATCACAAATAAGTCATTAGAATTAGTAAGAGCTAAAGTGGATAAATTTTTAAAAATATTTAACAAACAACTGAATTTCAAAATATACCAGCAGTTAGCATGTTAAATTTTAAAATAAAAATTGCATTAAATAGCAATAGCATTTAAAAATTACCTATGAACAAGTGTAATAAAGAATGAAGACAAAAGTCAGTAGGAAGACTAAAGGCATTTAAAAAGACAAATATATGGAGAAGTACATCACGTTCATGAACTGAAAGATTCAAAGATTCAGACTTAATAAGATGACAGTCAATATCCCAACAGGAACTAACAACACTGTGTACCAACTATACTTTATTAAAAAAAAAAAAAAAAGACATTTTTGTGGCAAACTGCTAAAGCTTACATGGAAATAAAAAGGCCCAGGAATAAATAAGGCACTCTTAGAGAACAGGAGAGAGTTGCTTTATTTACTAGGCACTGAGACTGTTTATAGACTTACAGTGATTTAAACAGAGTGCTTTTGACATAAAGCTATTAAAATAACCAAAAGTACATAATAGGGAGTCTAGAAATAGACCCTCCTTTATATATGACCCTTGATATATAGCAGAGGTGGCTCTATAAAAGAGTGGGTAAAAAATGGTTTTCTTAAATAAGTGGTATTTGGACCACTGGCTATTTCCATGAAAAAAAAAATTATATACACCCTAATCCACACACATTTACAAAAATTTCTCAGATGATTATAGACCTGAATGTGGAAGGCTAACGAAGCTCTCACAAAATAATAGGGAGGAATATCTTCATGAACTGAGGGCAGGGAAATTTTTCATCAAGACACAAAAAGCATTAGTCATAACACAAAACATTATTATCCAGGACCATATTACAATTAAGAACATCTGATGAACAGAGTCTGTCCATTAGGAGAATGTTACAACCGAATGTGTGTATCCCACCAAAATGTATACAGAGAGAAATAATTACCAGTGTGGTGGCATCTGGAGGTGGGGCCTCTGGGAGGTGATTAGGTCACGAGGGTGGAGCCCTCATGAAGGGGGTTAGTGCCCTTATAACAGAGCTCCCTGAAGGACACAGAAAAAATGGCAGACCAGGAACCAAAGTGGCCCCTCTGCAGCAGACATGGAGTGTGCTGGCCTCTAGAACTGCGGGAAATTAATGCACGGGGTTAGAGCCACCCAGTCTGTGCTATTTCTGTTATAGCAGGGCAACCAGACTGAGACAGAGAGTGAAACACCACCCACAGAATAAAATCATGTAATGGAAAGCTTGCATATAGAAAATGACTAACGTTTACATGTCTCTAAGACACACAGGTCGATAGAAAACTCAGCAGATGACTTGAATAGGTACTTCAAAAAATTTTTTTCAAATAGCCCCTCAGCATGAAAAGATGCCAAGGAAATGCAAATTAAAGCCACAATCAGAATCCATGACACACTCAGCAGATGGACAACATCAAAAGTCAGACAACACCAAGCAGCTGGTGAAGGTGGAGCTGTCATACATAGTCACCTGAGTGTAAACTGAATCAACACTATAAAAAATAAAGCCTATAACCTGACAAGTTCACACCCAGGTCAGTGAAACTTGTGCACATACCCACCAGGATACACGGACCACAGTTAAAACAGCAGTGTCTGTACCCACCAGAAATGGTTAAGAACTAGGAGATCCATCAGTAGCAGAATGAATATCTATACTGTGGCATATAGACAAAAAAGAGTGACATAATCTAGAGCAATGTCACAACAGCTACTCCCTGCAACAAAGAAGATTCTTGAAAATCATGCTTTGTAAAAGCAAGAAACAAAGAAATATGTACTGTATGACTCAATTTATTTAATCTTCAAAAGCAGGGCATGCTACATGATAATCCCAATGATGCATACCTAGATGATCAAACCATAAATGAAAGCAACCAAGTGACCGGACAAAGAGATAACAGTATCTATCTCCAGAGAAAGGGAAAGGGGTGTGGTCGGGAAGCTGCTGGAGCGAGTCATGCTGATTTTCTTAATCTGAGCAGGTTGCGAGAGTGCTTGCTGTGTAGTAACTCACTCTGCACAAGTGTGCTTTACGCATCTTTATGATGTGTGTTATGTGTCACAATTCAAAAGTCTTTGAGTTTTTGAGTTAGAAATTTATCCTGCCACCTCTGATTCTATTAGCATTTAGTGTGGATTATTATTTTTTCTTCCCTATCCTAACACCCTCTAGTCGAATCTTATTTACAGTCTCATACAAGTTACAAGTAACATGTTCATAATAATCACTGACAGGTTCATAATAATCTACTCTGACTTTCATTTGTTCTAAGCATAGATTCTTCCAAGGAATTTCCTCTAAACGCTAGTGTTTTAGAACTGTTTAAACCAGTCCACTGACTCCCTATGATTTTAGGTAGTAATATTTACCTCAACTGATGATTTTATAGGTTTACTTCATAACTTCTGAAGCCTTTTTCAATTCTTAACTGGAACCACTGCACAAAACAGGATTTAACTGTTTTCTCAATTCTCCCAAGAAGAGTTCATAAGTAATGGTCTCCATGCACAAAGCAGTAATTCATTACATCATGACATTAGGGTAAGGAGGTAGAGTATAATACTAAACAATTATTTACTGACCTAGTAATTTCAATAACTTTCTATGGACTTCTTTCTGTAGAGCAATTAACAGTAATTACAGGTGACATCTGAGGTAAATATCATCAGAATCTATAGATGATAATCAAAACTAAGCTCACATCTTCCCAATGATCTTTCTGAGAATATCCAACCACCACTTGATTGCCATTGGTATAATAGACTAATTTCATTAAGGCGCCCCTTTACCAGACCAACTTCTTTTTCCTAGTTTGTTAGTAACATCTTGAATCACAGCACTTCATAAACTTAGTATGGGTTAGCTCTCCCTAAACACATGACCTTACCCATATGCATGCACATAAATTCAGGAAGTCCCCTACTCTGCGTATATTAGGTAGGAGATACAGGTGCAGAGAAAATTTACAAGTTAGTTGGCAACAGAATCTGAAAGGTGTCAAATGTATTAAGAACATGACGGTGCTTAGAATAAGTATCAGATCAACCTTAGAAATATTTGCTCATTTCTAAAAATAATTCTGAGCAGAGTGTGTGAAAGAGTTTTGACCTTCTCCTGACAGATAGACATTAAATGATAGTGGCCTTGTTTTTATTAACTTTAAGTATTTCTAAAAAACCTTTTACTGAGGATTCATGATATAGCCACTTCATGTTTTTTTAAAGGGTTGAGTTTATATTGCCAAATTCAACTTTAAAGGCAAATGCCTCACTCATTAGAGCAATGCCACCAATGTTATCGGGAGATGCCGGATGAAACTAAAATCAACTTGTCACCTGCTGAAGACCTCATGCACATACATAACCTCTGAAAAGCTGTAGCATAGTCAAGTTATTCTAATTCAGAATACATTTCTTGTGTTTCTGAGCTGTACCATAATCTTACACTGTCAGTAATTTGTTTCTGCTTACAAAGTGCCAGGTGAGGACACTGAGTTTACTGAAAAATTACTGTTGGATTATGTTATTAACATGTTCTACCTGCAGCTGATACCAAACAAACTTCATTATTCTTATTCACAGAAACTGATGAACTCCAACCATCTTAGTGACTTTTTAGCAACAATTCTACCATCCATTTTCAAAATGTATTCACTACACATTAACAAATGTTAATAAATGCCTTTCTCCCAATAATTTTTTCCAGGAATTCAGAACACATTCATGTATTCAAACATCATGCAACCATTAAAGGTAAGGTATGCTTTTGTAACATACGGCAATGTTTTTAATATTAACTGAAAAAGGTCCCAGGTTCCACCTTGTACATGGCACTACCAGCTTCACATGCTAATAGCACAGAACTCTCCCTTTCACCCCCAACCCCCATCCAGTCCGTACATCTGGCTTGATTCACCTGGGAGTCTCTATTGACTCCATCTGCTCAGCAGGTCACTCTGCCCACCTGAGAACCCTCATCTCCCTTCTGACTTACGACGCTCACCTCCCTGCTCTCACTACCTTCTAATCCATCTGCACACACGGCAGCTAAGCAGTCTTCTAAAGTCACTATCATCACACTACTGCCCCATCACTCTTCAGGGGAAAGAGCCAAACCTTAAAATGCAGAGTTTCAACCTCCCTCAACGACCCCTCCAACCACAGTCCCTTCCCTCTCTAGCCCCTAACTCCTTCCTCCCCAAGGATCTCCGGACTATACCCGCACTTGTACCCCAACTCCCAGCACACCACTCCTTGCCCCCGTCACCTCCTCAACTCCTCGTTTTTCAGTTCTCACCTCCAGTGATGCATCTGCGACCCCCTCACTTACATGTCCTCACGCCCACACTGCTGCCTTACAGCACTCCCCAGGACACCACTGTCACTGTTTCCTGCGGGGTCACCACTGATCTCAGTGGTGCGCTCCCTCTCAGCAGAGCCCAGACTCCGTGAGAGAGACTCACGTCATTCTTGTTCACTGCTCCATCTCCAGCACCTGGCATGGCGCCTGGCCCACAAAGGAGCCTAACAATTACTTGCTGGATGGAAAATACATAGAAGTCACTCTAGAAAAAAATACACCGAAACAGTCAGTTACCTATGAGTAGCAGGATTATGAGGGATCTTAATTTAGCACATTTAATTTCTATCAATCACATTTTCTACAATAAGCACATTTTGCTTTTATTATTTATAAGTTAATGCTTTTGGACTCTTTTTTTTTTAAATAAACGTTACTTTGGACTAATTCTAGCTGTGTAAGACAGTGGCAAAAACTGTACAAAGAGGTCCTGAGTATCTCTCACTCAGCTTCCTAAACTACTATCCCAATTATTAATTCCCAGTTAATATCCTGTGTGGGCTTCCCTCATAGCTCAGTTGGTAAAGAACCCGCCTGGAATGCGGGAGACCTGGACTCAATCCCTGGGTTGGGAAGATCCCCTGGAGAAGGGAAAGGCTCCCACTCCAGTATTCTGGCCTGGAGAATTCCATGGACTGATCGGGTGGAGAGGGAGGTGGGAGGGGGGACCGGGATGGGGAATACATGTAAATCCATGGCTAATTCATGTCAATGTATGACAAAAACTACTGCAATGTTGTAAAGTAATTAGCCTCCAACTAATAAAAATAAATGAAAAAAAAAGAAAGAATTCCATGAACTGTATAGGCCATGGGGTCACAAAGCATCGGACACGACTGAGTGACTTTCTTTCACTTCACTTTCACAATGTCCTGTGTGTCCAGGGCATGTTTTTGTCAGCTAAGAAACTGACATCGGTACCCTTCCATTCAGGAAAGGCCAGACATTCTCTGGCTTCAACAGCCTCTGCCACTGTCCTCTCTGTACCCCAGGGTCCCATCCAGGACACCACACTGCATTTAGGCAGTGCATCTCTCAACTCGTCTGGTCCTGACAGTTTCTCAGTCTCTCCTTCTTTGTCATGACCTTGTCCCCATCCGTCTAGCTTTGTCTACAGTTCCTCCTGTGCTTAGACTGGGGTTATGAGTCTTTGGAGAGAGAATCACCAAGGTAGATGGCCTTCTCATCACATGCTGGGGGTATGCGATGCCCACACGGCCTCACTGGAGGTGGCACCTCCAGTGTCTGGTGTGACAGGGGTGGCCAGCTCTCTCCACTTCGGAGTTCCTAGTGTCCCAGGCTCTAGCCTTGGGGGGCCAGTCACCACATCCAGCTCATCATCAAGGGAGAAGGAGGGAGGAAGGCAGCCCCTCCTCCTCAAGGGTGGGACAGCTACAGAAATTATCCGGGAGACTTGTCTTTTCTCCCCCACTTATAAAATGTTCAGTCATTTATTTCGGCTCCTATCGTTTACATCGCATAAATGAACTCGTGTACACTGATCTTACGCGTTGGTTATAATGCAGTTCTACCTTATTTTTGTGCTCACGCGTTTGGCCACAAGGTGCTCTCTCGGGTTCCTTCCAGCGTTCCTTTGACCCGTCTTGGTCTTTCTGTTTCTGAGCATTTCCTTCCTTCTGGTGCTACACCCCTTGTATCTTGCCTGCCCCAGGTCTAGAATCAGCACTTCTCCAACACAACCCGCATCATCACTAAACCCTGCAGTTAACTGTATGAGATTATTATGAATCCAGGATAACCTATGTGAATGTCATAATGTAATCTGTTTGACTAAGTACAGATAACCTTTGAGAACCCAAGCCAAAACTGCCACAAAGGACTCACACATGTAACAGTAACATTTGTACGATTTCTTCTACTATTATTGTTCTATTTTGTTTCCAAGATTAATCTGAGTTGGGTGAGTAGACTAGATATTCACATTCACCTTTTAGATAAGAAAGATGAGAAGCAGAAGCACTGCCAGGACTAACTCCAGGGCACTGGACACAATGTAGCCACCTCCTCTATCCTGTGGCTTCTCCCTCCTGAAGACTCTTCATTTGGGGCCCCCGTGTGATACGATCGTGACCACGTGGGTATATGACAGTTCCTGCCACTCCACTGGCGCCATGTGTGTCCAGTTAAACCAAAACTGTTCTCAATACACCTATATTAGTTAAATAAATAAAAAAGGGGAAGAAAAGCCTCCTAAACATTATAAAGCAAACCTAGCTAATATGTTAAACAGGATGAATATTTTATAAAGCAGTAAACTTTCAACAAGCTTCTACTGGATGTATGCCAATATATTAAACATTTTAAGAAGAGAGAATGAAATAAACCACATCCATGGCTGACCATGGTTGACTAACATCCCAATGCCACAAAGTTTAGAAATAAAGAAAATAAGATTGCTCATCAAGAGTTAAGAAATGCCATTAGTACATAATGGATCAGCCCTAAACAGAACAAAGCAGACAGAAAAACAAATGACTTTCCTGCCAACATGAATTAGTAGGATAAATATACTGAAAGATGGCAAGCTTAGTCCAGGAAGAAGGAAAGCTACAACCAAAATAAATTTAAAAAGCCAAGAAAGCAAACACACAACAGAAGCAACATAGCTCACGACACAGGAGGGTCCTAACCCACGCCTGAGAAGTCAGGGAAGGCTTTCCAGGGGCCTGAGGTAAAACCTGAGGAGCAAGGCACAGGTAATGCCAGGTGTTACAGGCAGAGGAAAGGTGTGCAGAGACCTGGAGCTAAGCCAGCCAGGCACAAGCTCTACCCTAACATTCACAAGGCCCAGCGAGAGCATCATCCAATGTTCGCCGTACGGCTAAACATTTCAGTTATAAAGCAAGTTAAACAGTTCAGAAAACACTTTGATCTTTCTATACAGACAAATGCACCTTACAGTCAGTTGGAAGTTTTGGCTCAGTTTTATAAATCTGCAGACAAATTGGTGACAATTTGCAAAACACTGTAAAGCATTAACAAGGGGCTTCCCTGGTGGTTCAGTGGTAAAGAGTCTGCCTGTTAATGCAGGAGACACGGGTTTGATCCTGATCCGGAAAGATCCCACATGCCACGGTGAAACAGCCAGTGCTGCAAGTACCGCAGCTGCATGCCGAGGGAGAGCGTGTGCCCCACAGTGAGGGAGCCACCGCAGGAAGAGACCTGCACCATCACGAGAGCCCCCGCAGCAGTAAAGACTCAGCACAGCCAGAACAAACAAAGATAAGCATTAAAAAACTCCACCATCCAGAGAAAATTCACTGTTTTGGTGTATCTCCCACCAAATGTGTGCAGGGTGTGTGTATGTGTGTATTCTGTATTATGAGAACTGGGATCACATTATACACGCAGATTTTGCCCTTTTTATATAAGCCCTTCCATTCATATTGCTTATAAAATACCAGACAACAAGGTACCGTACTCAGTTCCCCGTGTGCATCTTGCAGCTGGCTTATCTCAAGTCAGAATTCCCACAGTGTGGTCACGTGTGCCCACAGAGCCCTGGAGACACCAAGGTGGTCCACAGCATTTTTCCTGAGATGAGATTTCTGCGCAGGCCACCTACCACGACAGTGGCAGGTGAGCACAGGTTCAATGATCTGAAATGACATGATGTGTTCTCAGCCACTTATGGAAGTCAGAAGTGCACAGTCCAAGTGTCTGTGGGGGCGCCCCTTCTGGAGGCCCCAAGGGAGAATCACCTCTATGCTCATCTCAGCTTTCCCTGGCCCACGGCCCCTTCCTCTTGTCACTGAGCCCAAGCTCACTCTGCTCGCCACATGACAGGCCAATGAATCTGAGACCAGGTGCTGAGGCAAGGAAGAAACTTTCATCAGGGAGCCGGCAGACCAAGAAGATGGCAGGCTAGTGCCTCAAAATAACCATCTCATCGGGGTATGCAAGCCAGGTTCTTTTATAGATTAGAGAGAAAGAAGCAATGAGGAGCTAAAGTCAAAAGGCAGGAGAGGAAGATGCAGTGGGGAAGTAAAGTGAAAGAGTCTTCAGTCGAGCAAAACATCTTCAAGGGAGCCGCCAGCCTTTGGACAGGATGTGTTTATCTCATCTATTCACAGGTGGGCAGGAACAAACTCACTCACCAAGAGCTGAACAAAGGCACTTTAGTTTACAGCCAAGCAGAGGGGCAGGGTTCTCCAGGCAAGCTACTGAGTATGATTATAATAATGAAAGCAAGTCAAAGAAACAGTTTCCAACATGGAGTCAGAATAGGCTTTCTCCCTGCAACTCTCTCAGCTGGCCAACCCCGGTTTCAGACTCATCCTCCCGCCTCTTCCATTTAAGGATGCTTGGGACTTCAGTGGAGCTACCCAGATAATCCAGGATAATGGCTCCATTTCAAGATTCTTTACTTATT